TTGCTTCAGTTCTTACTTTCCAGCACAGCTTCTTAGCTGTGTTTATTTTTTTCTGACCTTGTAGTTTGTTTTACTCTCCTCAAGGCAAATAGAACTTTATGTGTGACCAGTGATTACACATTACACTAGTTACACAGCTGTAGAACAACTGGGATTATCAGTTCGTTTTGGGCTAGCTGTTCCTGCAGCATGATGACAGGATGTCTAATATTCAACACTGACTTTCATATCACTCTTTCTTTTAGATGCTCTCTAGTTTTAATGGCTAATATATTTGCTCCTTTTTAAATATACCTATTAAGTTTGTGGAAAAAATGTGGATAATATTCTTAACTTGCTTAGATGGGAAGATTGATACCACTCTGTCCTCTGTGGTAAATACGAAGAATAGAATAGAAATCAGTCAAATAATACTATTAATTTAACAGGCTTTCCCAAAGAAACATTAGTTTTGTTAAACTGACGCTTGATTACTTCAGTAGCTAAGTGTTCTATATTATTTGCATATTCAGATGCACTTTCTCTTAAATTCTGTGGAGAACATGGATAAGTTGAGGTAGTATCATGTTTTTTGCCATTTTGTTAAAGCACTTGCTTTCAAAGCCACAAAGGCTTGAGGACAACTGCTGGAGTGTGAAAGAGGAGTCATGTGGCTGCTCTTTCTTAAGGTCACATGATTGAGTGTACCTGTGTTGAGCATTGCTTTCCTCTTAAAAGCTTTGCCTACTTTATTCCAAATGCAACCTCCAAATACCTACTCGCCAAAAACAAAACACAGTTTTAACCTGCAGTGAGTCACGACTAAAGCTTGTGCATGTTTTTGTGAAGCCTTAGACTCAAACTGTGCGGATCTGTGTGGCTCTTTCTTTTTCCATCGTGGTACTCTCGGTCCATCAGTCTCCCTTCCTCTATCCTTTTTTTTTTTTTTTTTTGCTATCACTCAATCTCAAAAGCAAAATCTGTCTTAATTGGCTCCAGAGGGCTCGGGGAGGCTTTGTGTCAACGCTGATGAGGGTCCTGATTGGTCCAGAGGCACAGGCAGCCAACAGACCCTTGTTAGTGTGTCGGGGCCCTTTGCTTGCTCGTTAGTCCGATGAACTCATTTACTGATGGGGGGTGACACGGCCTCGTTTACCAGTGTGGAACAGAGAAAGGTGTGTGTGTGTTGGTCGGAGGGGGCGGGGGTTAAAGCGAACAGGGAGGGTAAAGAACCGAGTAGAGGGGAATATAACTGAACTTACAAGGTGCATACGCAGAAATACTACGAGTATTCAAAAGCCATCAAATGCCGATTTATGTTTCTCTTCATTTTCTTTCTGATTTGATGCAGCAGTAAAAGAATAAATAAAAACCCGCTGCAAGTGACTCGGTTCACTGAAACTGTTTATTGCAGATTGCTTGATTCTGTGGTCAGTCAAGTGGAAACAGTCACAAACAGCAAGGAATCTGTAGCCTCAGTCCCTTGTTTGCATGCACATTTTTGTTCTTCATTTTTTATGAATTCTATTCAAGTTCTTGCAGTATTGCTTGTCCCTCGTCTGCGTTTTGATGTTGATTGATCACCTCTCTTCCTCCCGCTCATTAATTTCATCACCTTATCTCCCACACCACTTCATTTGACCAAAAGGTAATAATAAATCCCTCATCCATTATCCTTTAACTGAGGCACCCATGTGGAAATACTTAATAAGAGGCAACAAATTGAACTTCAATCACCTCTTTTTTTCCCCTTCGAGGATGTATAGTAGATTAAACCGAACATGCAAATATGCTTCCGCCACTCATCAAACACTGTTTATGTGCAATTCTGAAACCTTTATTTCCTAAAACACCACAATTGATATTCAAATGATATTTTATTTGTATTTTTTCACATGTTATGACAAATAAGGATCATTGGTTGCTGGCAGTGGCTTCTCTCCTCCAACTCTGGGGTCTTATCAGCCCAAAAACACACACCCACTCAGCCGGCCTGACTGCGAAAGCAGCTGAGAGCCTCATCTATCTTGAACCACGTTGCTGATAGTTGCTTCTCTGCTCTCTTAACTCTTCTTTAATCCAGTACAGTTTCAATTTAATCCATTAGCATCCCTGTGTTTGGCTTTACCTTTGTTTCTAAAGATGCTCTGGTTGGTAAGAGGGGTGGATGCGAGGGGTGATGAAGAGGATTCGCTGGCACAGACTGTCTGTGAGATTCAGTGGTGACAGCTTTT